GGAGATCTTTATGTGGTAGAGCCATGTTTTAGCTATATTACTATGGTACGTGGTAGAGTTATGCTGCAGCTATATTAATAGTATAGTTGTAGCACGAATGGGTCGGCTCGAGCGGGGAAGGACCACACTCTCACAGAATACCTGCGTAAAATATCAGCTTAATACTGCTGTGTTTCGTATGGTTAGTGTAGAGAACCGGAGACCCTTTTTACTGGAAAAGAGGCATTCTATCTTAGTCCGCACGGCTGACAACGCATCTGCATTTTAATTCGCAAACAAAGGTAGATGTAGATGTCTGTGGGCCACAGCATCCACTTACCATCAGGTGGACTGTGTGCTCATTTGTCACCATTATTCTATAAAAACATGGTTATAGCCCGAATGGGACGGCTCGACCACGCTCTCACAGAATATCATGGTAAAATAGCAGCTTAATGCTGCTGTGTTTCATATGGCGAGTGTAGATAACCGGAGATCGTTTTTACTGGAAACAAGGCATTCCATGTTAGTCCTCAGGGGTAACAACGCATCTGCATTTTGATTCTTAATCGAGGATAGATGTAGATGTCTATGGGCCACAGTAACCACTTACCGTCAGATGGACTGTGTGTTCGTTTGTCACCCCCAATTCTATACAAAGAAATGTATCTGACGTTACTTTATAGCGGTATCAATAGGAAAGGTATTCATTAGTAGAATGTGAAAGACGAGTCTCTCTTATTATTCGACAGTTTGTCGATGTTTCGAATAAAGCATTGTCATTTCGTTGTTATCGGATTATGTTTTTTGGTAATTTATTCAGTGGCATCCCGCCTGCATCAACGACAGCGTCATTGGTGAGAGAGGATTGCAAACATTTTAAAGTAATAGAAATTTTGACTGTACTAAAGGTGAATTCATATTATTTCTGAGAGTTATGGAGTAATTAGTCCCAGTAATTAGTAGTAGTTAGTATGATATAAATAGCGGCACGAAAGTCTAGCGGTGACCATTATTGTGCATAAGTCGCGCTGATTGGCTTTCCAGTCGCATTCGTGCAATTCGATTCGTGCGCGTCCCCTCAGTTTCGTTCAGGGCTAAACTTAGGTGCCGCGACTTGTAATATGTGGTAAGATCTCTGTATAATCTTTATACAAATAACCTATATACATATACAAATAAATAGAAATGAAGTGCCTGTTTGTAATGTCAAAATAACAGATTTTTACTATATGCATATAAAAGTATATACGGTACTTATAACAAATACACAATTTTTGTTCGTTTGTCTGTTTGTTCCGGCTAATATCCGAAATGATTGGACCAATTTTAGCGGGACTTTCACTGGCAGATAGCTAATATTATAAGGAGTAACTTTTTATTTTAGGAAAATAATTAGGGTTCGGCGAAAAAAAAAATTAAAACCTTAAAAAGTTAAATTACAAGCGGGCGAAGTTGCGGGTAACAGCTAGTGTGTAATATTATTGTTAAAAACTCTATACTAGAAAGTTTTTAGTAAGCGCTTGAATATTTATCGTGTCTAATAGTTCCAGGTTGCGACTCTGGAGGAATGGCGTTTTCTTGTAAAATAAAGATTAAAATTTGTGCTTATATTGTTTATGCGACGAAATTACTAATTTAAAATCAGATCAGAGAAACACAACCTCAAAACTCTCAAGAAGCTTTACATATTACAGCTATCGGACTATGTTCTATAATATAGTTTGTATAGAATCTATACCGTAGTACGAGTATATTTTGCTCACCGAACAGGGCAATAAAATTTATGCTCACTATGTTATACACTGGTACGAATAAGAGTCTGTTTCAGTATCAACATATAGTCGCGTAAAGCCCTTATTATGTGTATATGTTCATAGCAGTAATTAACTAATAGCTTGCATAAATGCAAGTTTCTAGTGACAGCCTTACAAGAAGACGACATGATTATGAGATTTTATTTGTATTTATATAATGTTTCACCCTCCAAGTATAACACGATAGATATCATCTATGAGAAAATTGTAGTTTTACCCGACTATCCCATAAAGAGGGTAATGTTTTTCGAGTGTATGTATGTTTGCATGTAAATCTATTTCTTTGGGATGCTCTGCAGCCTCAACGACTTAATCGGGTTTTTTAAATTACTGTTTTACCTTTAAGCTTGCTCTGTAACATTTCTCGAAAATCGGTCACCTAGGTACTAACTTTATGATAAGCCAAATCAAAAGACCATAATATGTATACTATACTGAACAAATTCCATAACGTGATGTTCCAACTATGCGAATAATTAGAAACACTTAAGTGTTAGCAACAAACCCAGACAAGGCAGTCGTGCGGCTGCTAAGATCGTGACTGCGGGCGAGACGTGACCTCGCATTTATTGTAAACACACTCCACGACACGTAGCCTGTCTTCCAAATAGCAAGTTAGTTTTTCAGTCCTTTAATGGTTCCAAACAAGCACATTCCACTTTATGGTATATGTGGTAGAGCCCTGTGCAGCTATATTGTGGTTGTAGCACAAATGGGTCGACGCGACGGGGGTAGGAGCACGCACTCACAAAATACCAGCGTAAAATGGTAGCTTAGTGTTGCTATGTTTCGTATGGGAGTGTAGAGATCCCGAGACCCTTTTTACTGGAAATGAGGCATTCCATCTTAGTCCTCAGGGGTGACAACGGATCTGCATTTTGATTCGAAATCGAGGATAAATGTAGATATCTATGGCCACAGCATCCACTTACCATCAGGTGAACTGTAGGCTCGTTTGACACCTTTATACTAAGTAGATATTGTGACCCATAGACATCAATTATTCTCGACTAAGGATCAAAATGCAGATGCGTTGTGTTGCGGACATATCCTTGCCCTAAAACCCTCTCCCAAAAGACACGAGCATGTACTCAGCAATGGAGCGTATATATGCTGTAACTATTCTTTACCTTATGGATAAATTGAAATCTAATCTAGACTACTTTGACATAAGAATACGACAGAAAGAAAGCGAGGGACAATGGATTTTTAACGTATAAATATATTTTAGTTTGCGAGTAAAGAAAAATTGAAGTCAAACTTGTTAAGTCTAAAAGTTTTTTTTTAATTAATAAAACAACATTAAAGGTAACAAGAGTAATCAAAAAAACTCGACTGCGTAAAAAAGTTTACTAAAAAGGGAAAAAATTAATACTCTAGGTCACTTCTACAACTAAGACTAATCTAACGACACTTCATATGTTAAAATCTATCAAGCCGTTTAGGCTGCAGAGCCTAAGTGCCAAAGAAACAGACTTACATACAAACATACATACTCTCAAAAAACATTAGCCCTCATTTGGGGCAATCAGGTAAAAAAAAAATACGTCATTAATCGTTATGATTTAAACATATTAAAATCTGAATTTTAAAAGAAAACACCGCGTTTTCTATTCAAAATTCGACCAACGCTGTCTAAGCTTTAGAGTATAAATAAGAAAGCTATGGTTATAAATACTCTAAGGTCTAAGCATTACAATATGAAAAAAAAATGCTAGGTTGTTATAAGTTTAAATATCTACACTGCCCATAATAAGTTTCGCTATCTCAGTTTTCTACGTACTTTTACTCATTTCTTTTAAGTATTTTAACCACTGCATAATAATTACGCTTTGTTTCCATTACCACTGCATTTTACAAACACTGCATATTAAAAAATAACCAAGAACCCATTCTTGGTTATTTTTTACGTTCATTGCGGGGAAGAGACTCGTTGCTTTACCTTTTTGTATTTTTTGTAGTTCTGAAGAGAACTAATTTCACAATCGTTTTTTTTTTAAATATTGTTTTACAGGCAATCTATTTGTACGTTGAAGATACAAATAAGCTGCTGGTTTTCTTTATGGTTCATCCGAGGATAAAAGCATTTCAGAAACATTAGTAAAACAAAAATAGTTTCCATTGGTATTATTTCTTGTCTTCAGTCTATTTTTGTTTAGTCTACTACATTGAATATAAATATTGTTGTTTATTCCAATGGTACAAAAGATGATTGATAATCACTAGTAACATAATCAATGTTATATCATTAATATACCTCAAGATTCAAGAATATCTTACATAAAAAACATATAAACCAACATAAGCAAACGACTTTGTAGCAGAGCAGGATATTACCGCGAGTCGCGCTGTGTATTATTTGCATCAGTTGGTAAGACCCCGTAATTACACTTTGATTGACTTTCACCGGCGTAGTCTATCGGAAACGTCTCTCACGCGTTTGTTGTCAGTCTCTGTGTAGGGGTGTCACAAGGAACTCTCTTGGAACCATTCATTTATATAACTTATCATTCCTACTATGCGCTTCGTATCGATATTTTTTCATCATGCTCCTTTTTAGGCCGTTAATAGTCCATGTCCAATCCATTATATTGACATGGGCTTCTTCTTCAGTAAAGAGAATTTGTCGTAATCATTTGCATTTGTTGCTCAAGCGTGGGGTCCAGATACGGTTTATCGATATGACAACTCACACGATAAACTCTCGGACTGTAGTCCCTACAATTATAATTTCGTAATTATAATATTATATAAAATTATATCTTTACCATTGGGTGGAAATTTATATCTTTACCATGGGGTAAAGATATAATTTTTTATTTCCCGTCAGCGACTCCAGACTTAAACGACCATATATCGATGTATGATGAGTGATGATAGCTAATATCGTTGTCAGTGTCATACACTCAGACATACATATTATGTACTATACGGATAATACAAAGAAATTATGCCAAGTGTAGTCCTTTTATACCAAACTCGCACACATAATAAAGCTTATAATTGAATTGCTTCCATTTCATTCACGATTTAGTTATTTTAGTTCCGTAGTTATAAGTTGTTTAGTCTTTAATATCTTTTGGAATATTTGTGTTGGTGTTCGTTGTTACAAATAATTTTTCTTTCTTTCTTTCTTACATATGTTTTTAATTACTCTAAGGTCATAATATATTAAGAATTTACCTATTGAAAATGACCACTTACCCTGTTTGACGGAGACGTATTTGTCATTAAGTGCAGCGACAAAGGCGGCTTGCGGCAAGCTGTCCTCCAGCGAGAAGAGCTCGTCGCGAGTAACGTTGGTGGAGCGCGTCTTCAGTACGGCTTTGGAACCGATGGGCGCGAGATACGCACCGCTGGCGTCCCGTAAGGCCAACGCACCGGAGTGGTACTCCGCACTAAAGAGACACTCCGACGTGCAAGTGTCCAGCAACTGTGGGGAAAGATGCGATTTCAATCAGGGCAAATAATTTCTCTTTCACCAGATGTCGCTAATAGGGACTGAGGTGAGGTTTTTTATTACAAAATGACGTATAATTGAGAAGTTAAGATTTAAATAAAAATTTATCGGTTTCTAAAGTATTAGCAAATAACACATTATACGAGGTAGAGCCACGCTGCAGCTATATTATGGTTGTAGCACGAATGGGTCGGCTAGACCAGGGAAGGAACACGCTCTGACAGAATATCAGCGTGAAATAGCATCATAATGCTGTTGTGTTTCGTGGGTAAGTGTAGAGCACCGGAGACCCTTTCTACTGGAAACGGGGCATTCCATCTTAATAGTCCTCAGGGATAACAACGCATCTGCATTTTGATTCTTAATCGAGGACAGATGTACCTATGGCCCATAACATCGACTTACTATCAGGTGATCCATGTGTTTTCTTTCTGTCTTTTATTTAAAAACAATTTATCGCAAAACGCGAAAAAGTTCCAATGAAACAATGTTAAAAAGAAACAAATTCAAACTAGCTTCAATGCTTAAACCGCATCCTGAGGAAACATAAAAACAACACTAAAGACAAGATGTCGGAAAACGCAAGAGACATTTCTGAGCTCAACATAATCCCTCAAAGCGTCAAAGAGCTTTGTGGATTAAAAGTTTTGCTTTTAGCATGGCGCGGCTGGCATAGACGTGTGCCTTTTCCAAAACATGTTTTCAAAGTAGGAACTGTCGACTTTTCTTTTCATAATGGCGTATTTTGTATGTTTAATAGGAATTAACATTCACACTATAATTTATATAGCGTGTAGTGGCGGTGTAAGAATATCCACTACTCCATAACGTTTCTGAGTATCGTAAGACGCGATAGAAGAAAACAAACTATAAGATGGACAGAAGCGTCTTCCTAATAATAAAAAAAAACTGCGGTTGGCGACCCGCCTGCCTAGCGTGGTAACTGTGGCAAATATTCGCCCTATCTTTAGGGAGGCCTATGTTCAGCAGTGGACTGTGATAGTTTACAATCTACAGAATGATTACAGCAAACCGAAAGATCCAAAAAGCGGACAAGTCCAAGTTTTAAAGGATAAAGCGTCCCGCCTGTAATCCACTTACAGTTAGCAGGTCAAGAAGCGAATTATGTGGACCACTTTTAGCCAAACAGTATGGATAGAGATGGAAAGTTTTGAAGGGAGTGTGATAAGTGACTAGGACATTACCTACACAATCACAAACTCAATAATCCCATTGGTTGTCTTTTAAGACATGCTAAGTAACATAGTTGGCACATTCCTTTTAAATCTATACAAATAAATAAAATTGAAGTGTCCGTTTGTAATGTCAAAATTAAAGTTTTTTACTAAATGCATATGAAAGTAAATACGCTACTTATAACTAAAATACAATTTTTAAAATTTTTGTCTGTCTGTCTGTTTGTTCCGGGTAATCTCCGAAACGGCTGGACCGATTTTGACGGGACTGGCACTGGCAGATAGCTAATTTCATAAGGAGTAACTTAGGCTACTTTTATTTTGGAAAAAGTATTAAGGTTCCGCGCAAAAACATAAAAACCCTAACACGCGAGCGAAGTCGCGGGGAACAGCTAGTTATTAAATAAACATGGCACCAATAATTATTCTACAAATATGGGACGGGACAAAACTTACATAATTTTAGTAATCATCAAACAAATATTTGTGAAAAAGATAAACGATGTAATAGGCCAACACAAGAGTCAATAGTGATAGAGGTCATTCATTCTTCCTGCCCAGTCTACATAAATACGAGTAGCAAGACTTTATGTAGTGAACCCTTTTACTGGAAACGAGGTACTCTGTCTTAGTCCTTAGGGGTGACACTGCATCTACATTTGACTCTTAATCGAAGATAGATGGACTGTGTGCTCGTTTGTCACCCTTATTCTATAAAAAAATATATACTGAATAGATGTGATCAAAGTAGGATTGCTTAGGTATATTTAAAATTGCGAAAAATCCCGCACAATCATATCAACAGTCTTCCTCAAATCCAACAACGTTTTTTGCTTACCATGTTAAGAATGCGATAGCAATTTGCCTATAATCACTAAGTTTAGGCACAATTCACACAATTTGTAGAATAATAACTTTACAGAGGTATTTTAGAATTAGTTTGTGGTAATTCATTTCATAAGAATTCTAATATAAATATTTCCTAAAGTAAATGCCATGGATTCAAAACCAATCAAAAGAATGCTAAAACCATGTTAGAGAGAGCTCGGGAGCTAAGTAGCCGTAAGTTTGACACGTACGCGAGCAACCAGGGTTTGATCTTTGATCTCCACCGGCAACAACGAAATTGTTAATTAAAATTTTAAGTGCTGAGTTGTCACGTGCTCGGCGGTGAAGGACAACAGCGAAAATTATTTCGTACACATATGAAGTCCACGAAAACGTATTGTGGCAGCGCGGAAGACAATTCCTTGCCCAAAAATCCTCCCAAAAATTAGGGGGTATATTTTATTTTAATCAAAACACAACATTGACTGCTCCGTGGCGCAGCGGCTTAGCAATGAATTGCTACGCTCAGGGCAGCGGGTTCAAATATCGCACGGAACAAGTATTTGTACGGCCTACAACTAATTGTTCCAGGTCTGGATTATTGTCCTTGTGAAATTTATAAACAGCCCCTACGATACAGATAATCCTAGTGTGGAGGTAACGTTTTTAAAAAATAAAGGATGTATCAAAACAAAATTAACGTTAAAATTTAGTAGAGTAATATTAGCCTCGCATTTCCACAGCGCAATATATTATGGACAGCACAGAAGCCATTGTTTTCTAAACACACGCACGAAAACAAACTGACAGTGCTAATAACAATATGTCCTGCAGACTGTTCAGTATTATAGGGAAAACTTTAGCTAAAATGTATATGCCGACGACAGGCAGATTGTATGATTCGTCACTATACAAACAGAGTGTTTTGCAAACGCTCGCTGGCTTGTGAAATGCCGAAGGCAAATTTATATGTCGCCGTCCGTTCGTAGAAATGGGCAGATCTCGATGTGCCGGGCATTTCATGATAAATATACAAGGTATTGAATATTTCAAGAATAGTCTTAAAACAATAGAGACATATTCGTAGTGTATGTAGAATACGGTTGACAAACGAGCTCACAGTTCACCTGATGGTTAGCATAAGCTGTTGCCTAAACACCTAATCCTAGAATAAGAATCTTAATGTAGATACGTAACCACCTCTGAGGACTAAGTGATAAAGGAACTTACAGTCCAGAGTCCAGATGGTAAGTGGCTAGCTACTGTAGTCCACGGACATCTGCAACCAACTTCAAACATAGAAGTTACTTCTTACGACTACTTCTCGACTTAAGTTACAGATGTGCCACCTCTGAAGACGATGTATGTAATTACTACTTACTCTATAGTCTCTCTATAGTATTAAGACTAGAAGAAGAAAGAAACATAGTCAAGACTATGATACTTATCCAGACAGACAAAGGAAAAAAAGAGTCCAGGCAGAAAAGGAGCCCTACCACTCCGGTCCAGTTTCTTCTCCACTTTCACTATTACACTGATATTCTGAAAGCGTAGTCCTACCCCGGTCGAGCCGACCCATTCGTACTACAACCATAATATAGCTACAGCATGGTTCTAAGGAGTATAAAAATTTGTCTAATATTCAAGTCTTTACTGTAAAAAAGACACAAAAACTTTCAATAGAGTCCCAAAATTATTAAAAAAGAAATTGATTACACTAAGAAATTCTTCCCCTTAATAATAACATAGACTTCTATGTGAGTCATTCATCCACATGCTTATTTAATCTAAACGAAACTAGGGAAAGAATAATTAATAGAATCAGGCGTTACCTTGCGGGCATCTAAGGAAATAATAATATAACACAACAATAAGAGCATTTTACTACATTCTTTCGCCTTGAGAGTACTAAGTAATTATAATTCAAAATAATTAACTACAATTTATAGCGTTTAATATCGCGTTGAAGAAATTTTTTTACTAGTACTAACCTTTCCGCCGGCGCTGAGGTACTTGTTGTTGCACGTATGCAAGGCGTATTTTCCGCCTTCATCTGCTCGGAACTCCAGCGTGAACAGCGTGTCCTCGCCCCACGGCACGTTGGCGTCCACATGGATCTCGTCCAATGACTCCGAGAGGTGGGCGAAGCGTTTGCGGCCGATCGAACGAAGGTTAACCTAGGGAACAGTAATGGGTCACAAAATATTCCTTTTATACGCTCTTATAATGATGACACTAAGATTTTTAAGTTGAATGAAGACGTATAGCTTCTTTTTTACTATTCTAAGCTAACACTTAACTACAATCCCACAGTAAGTGGTGATGCAGCCAAAGATGGTGAAGCGCACTGACTTAACAAAAGCATTTAATAAATATATGTACCTACACGATATATAGAAATGTAAATGGCAAATATAAATAAACTAGTAGGATTTAAATGTTCTTTTGAATTATTCTTAAATTTTAAGTAAAAAATTTGAATGTCCCAATTACTTCTTAGCAAATCGATGCCATCTCATGAGGCATGGCATTAAAAAATTGGGGCTTTACTTTGAAGAAATTCATAGTATTAAAAATAATTTGCTTAGATCTGCGCAAACAGTAGCGTACGCCAACTCACAGTTATTACAGTGTAATTAATCTGGTCACAATCTAAACACTGAAAAATAATACGATATTTGAGTATTCGTGCTTAAAGAAAGAAAAGTGCCTAATTGAAAAAATAAAAAAATTTGAGGGTGATTTATCGGGATAAAAACTATCCTATCTCTCAAGTTGGACCAAAATGCACACAGTGTGCAAAATTTCATTGAAATCAGTTCAGTAGTTTAGGACTTCATCACGAACAAACAACGTGACACGTAATTTATTATATATAAAGATATGGTAACAGAGTTAGAGAATTTATCAGTCGGTTTCTTCCCGTGGGTGTCGTAAGAGACGACTATGGGAGACACCAGATAGATCTCATAGCTTCCCGCAGACATATGCAGTACAAACATCTTGGTCCAGTTATACATATAATAACCAGAGCTGTGACGGGAGAAGCGCCACAGGTGGAGTCATCTTGTAATGCGATGGCCGATCTACCTGCCAAGCATGGCGATTACAACAGACCCAAGGATCCAACAACCAAGTCCAAATAGTCGTTGATACATACCATAGAAAATATAAGGAACCAACCCATATCTATCACCATCCAGACAAAATATGTAGCGCAGAGCAAGCCCAAGCAGATAAACCCACCTGTGGTCTAGCGGCAAGGTGCACGTGCCACAGCTCCGCGTCGCCTGGCACCTTGGCGGTGCAGGTGAGCTTGTCCGAGCTGGAGCCCAGGAAGTACCCACGCTCCACGTTGCGCAGAGCCCATCGCCCGGTGCCGTCTTCAGAAACGCTGCAGAACAAGCTTTGGGTTAGTCATATTTTTAGTTTTTATTTTATAGAATAAGGCGCGACATAATTATAACGTTTAACAAAAAGTAAAAACCGACTTCAAATTGCTAAAAAGAAGTTATTTATTTGGTACCCTTATGAGTGGAATTTTTTCTCCAAATTTATATGGGTAGTATAAACTAATAAAAAAAGAATCATTAAAATCGATTCTCAATCTGCGAAGATATCATATAAAATTCCTTAAGCAATAGTCCAATATGAAACTTTTCCCCCTTTTTTACATACTTGGAGGCGCATGTTTTTCTTCAAAATTTAAGTGTACCACCCTTGAAGTATCACCTATTTAATAAAAAAGAATCATCAAAATCAGTTCACAATCTGCGAAGATATCGCGGTAACACACATACAAAAAAAAACATACACTCAAATTAAGAACCTCCTTTTTGAAGTCGGTTAAAAACACGTTACTATCTACATCATATGGATTTTTTTAATATTATCTTTCTTTATATAAATTTTTTTTTATTCTATAAGGATATATCAGCCTTATCGTGTCATTGCTTGTTCCTGTTATACAAATAATCATCAGTATTTAGAAAGGGGGAATCAATGTGATAGGAATAAAGAAATTAATGACTTTGCCACCCCTGAGTGTGGCTCTGTTAATGAACCTTCAAGAAGTGGCCTTAAAGAAACGATTTTACTCTTTTATAAAAGGCCGGCAACGCATCTGCAATTCCACTGGTGAGGCAGTTGTTCATGGTCGGCGGTCGACACTTACCATCAAGTGAACCACATTCTCGTTTGCCCACTATTCTATAAAAGAAAATTGTCTGACGAACGAGCACACCGTTCACATGAAGGTAAGTAGATGCTGCGGCACATGGACATCTAAATCTGTCTTCGATTAAAAATCAAAATGTAGATGCGTCTTTTGTCACCCCTGAGGACTAAGATGGAATGACTCGCGTATTCAGTAAAAACAATTTTCGGTTCTCTACTGTGACCACTAGAAAAACAGCGGTATTAAGCTGCTATTTCACGCTGGTTGGGTGTCGTAGTTTTTACCGTTACGAAATTCGAAAATTATTGACACTACAACTAATAAATTATTGGTACATAATTTTAATTTTCTTTTTTTTAGTACTGTCTCCAAACTAGATCGATTTTACATTTTAATATAAATTAGATTAGTTTTTAAAATATACATATATGCATAATAATTGTAAGTCTATAAAACTATGAATTGTTGAATATTAATAATCTCTTGGTAGTAGATAGTGTTCTATATTCATAATAATTTGAATATAAAATATAATTTGAATCTATACATATAATAAATCTGTAGAAAAGTCGTGTCTGTAATTCTAATATATTCTTGAAAAAACAAGTCCAGGGGACTAAATAAAGGGTTCTGAAGCCAAATTAGTGGTTTTTAGAATTTTTGTCTGTCTGTCTGTCTGTCTGTCTGTCTGTCTGTCTGTGTATTCCGGATTCACGCAAAAACTACTGAACCGATTTACATGAAATTTTGTATGTCAGTAACCCGGGACAACTTATAGGCTACTTTTTATCCGATTACGGAACTTTAAAAAAGGATGGTTAAGTATATTAATTTTCTTTAGATGTTAATTTTCTGTTGTATCTTAGTTATAGGCGGAATGACGGGTGTTTTTCAACTAAATACCATATTACCATATTTGTAAATAAAGTTTAAAATATAGTTATAATCTTGGTAAAATAATTTGAAACTACACCGATTTCGTATTCAAAACAGCGCCATCTATCATCAAATGGAAAAAGTTGTATATTTTGCCTTCAGTTACTAATAAATGAAATAATATAAATAACTTACATTTATATGATTAAATTATTAGATTTTTAAAATTATTAAAAAATTGTAACGTTCAGTTTTTTAGTATTTTTGTTATTTTATTTTAAAAGTGTAATAATTTCAATAGATAATAGTGACGTCTATCAAAAATATGAAAATTGATAAGGTATTTATTTCAATTACTAATATATATGTAAAGTGATAAAAATTGGTCTGTCTGCAATTGTTGTAAAATTTTCATTATCATCATAGTTTTATTAAAGAGATTTTTATGTATGTCGTGGCTAGATCGTAGAATTGATCATATATCATAAAGTAGTCTATCATTTCGTGAAAACACTGAAAAAATGACTGAAATGAATGTGTATTTAACACTATGTGATGACCGTGTCATGATATAGCTTAACCAAATCAATGAATAGAAATCTTTTGAAGTTATTAGTAACTAAACACAACGTTGCTATTTCATAATATGGTCATATGACGATATCATTATCGTTTTTCACCGCTAGCGGCGCTGATACGAGTAGCTTATTTTTAACAGATACAGAACTTTTAAGAGAATTGACATTATTTTATCCCTTATTGACTGATATTACTAGATGGTATAGTTTTGGCTTTCATTATTTCATGTAATATTAGCGCCACCTACTTACTTCTAAATAAATTAAAATGGCAAGACATTGATAAAATGAAATAATACAATGCTACTGAATATACGATGTAAATAATTAAATGATTTACATTACGTTCATCCCGAGTTGGAATCAGTGCAGCGAACTCTTTTTTGGCCAAAAACTCTACAGCCTGTGCCCAGTAGTAGCATGTATGTAAGCTGCTTTTTTACTTTTCATGAGGCAATATGCAGTTTTTATTTCATTCGTGTTTTCGGGTATGATAATTTATGTTTTCACTCTACCGTAAATATTAAGGCTTGCAAAGATAAGTAGAACTCATTATCGTCAGCCTATCAAAAGTCCACTGAAATGAACATAGGCCTCCCCCATAAATTGTCAAGTAGCTGGATATTTGCTATAGTGGCGGGTTGGCAACCGCAGCTATTATTATTTTGATCTGTTGTCAAGAAGATGATGCAGATCATACCATCTACTATTTTTTTCCTATGTCGCCTCTTACGACGGGACGATATGATGTGTTGGATTTTCTTTCACCGCCACAACAGTCCGAACATTTTTCTATTCCCGTTCATGAGTGTAGTGTTCCTCACGTTCACTGTGTATAAAATTTATAAGGAATAAAAGTAATTTTAAGGATTTTATCGCGCATTTTAAATTTTTAAATTCCCGATGGTTTGGGCAATTTACAGCACCCATGGTCACGGGAGGGGTGGCAGAACTGAGGTGTTTGACAGGTCGTCAAGTCGTTCAGTTCAGATGTCATAGTTAAAATAGAATAGTTAAAATGCAGTAGTAGTTTGAATTTAATTTTATTAATCATGGAGTCCTTAGCAGATAGTAGCACTCAGCCATCTTCCCTATTAAAATTAGGATATTTTTAATTTCAATAGCCTCGCGAATCATCATTGGTAAGATTCGGTGTTCTATTGCAAGGATTTGTTGTATATAATGGTTGGGACGATACTAAACATGTTTACATACTTTAGACTTCCCGGAGCTTCGGTGCTTTCATTCGGTGAGGAGTCAAGATGCGTAAAAAACCCGTAACATTAGTTTTAATCCATGTGTGGTATTCATTATTATAGAACTGTATTTATGAAATTTTCAAGTCTACTCGAAGTAAATAAAAATATCTCTATCTTTTTATGGTGTCAATCAATATTAAATAGGACCAATGATATGAATAAAATGTCTCAAATAAACATTATATTACTTTGTTAAAACTAAATTTACTTTAACTATGAATATATATATGTAAAGAGTAAAATGTAAATAATAATAATACATTTTGATTTCAAGAGTATTTACCTTTCTTATGGATACATCGGATTCGGAAGACACGTCATATATAAAAAATAGTAGGAGTTTCTAGACATATTATAAGTATATTCACGTGTTTCTGTAGCATGTTACCAATCATCTACGTCTAATAGTATTTTAGAATGAAAAAAAATCTCTGACAGACATAGAGATATAGACTCTAAAAGTGATCGAATATTTCTAAATTTGACACGGAACAGCATTTAATGATGTCCCTAAATTCAAGCGCACGCGAGCGAAGCCGCGGGTAAAAAGCTAGTATAAAATATAAAACTCGTCACACTAAATTCTCAGCTCAGTGGACATCGTGTCAGTGAACCAAGTGCTAGATATTATATATTCAAATCCCGGCTGATATTTGCGTACTACACAAATGTATATTATTAGTTTCGGTCTAGATCTACGGATTTTCTGACCTCAAAAATAAAACTACAGAAACTAAGGGTTGGCGTTTTTTGTCATTACTACATTTCGTAAAATTAGAATTGGCGAAAAGTAATGACGAGAATGTACACACTTTGTTTGCACTATTATTTACGGACGATGGAATATCACGTTATATACGTATAAGTCGACGTCTAGTGCAAGTTAAAGAGGATCTACTACCCCGTATCATCCCGGGGCTGTCGTGAGATGCGCAGCACAGAATAAAACAGAAGACTGACAGCAGCATCTTGCTGATAACAACACAAAACAATAAGAAACTGCGGTTGCCAACCCGCCTACCATGCAACTATGGCAAATATCCTTCCCCCCACTCCCTATGAGGCAATCTATACTAATCTAGGACTATGTACAATGAAGACTTGTGCAGTTAACTCGAATAGGCTGTAATGATGATGACGCGTAACCGAAAGATATGTACCTAGGTATCCACTTATATATTGGCAGGTTTTTGCTCAAAAGGACAAAAAGTGAAAGCTTTTTCACTTTTTGTCCTTTTGAGAGTTCAAAAAAAGAGGAGGTTCTATTCTCGACTGTATTTATTATTTATATGTTACCTCAGAACTTTATTCTAGTTGAACCGATTTTGAGGATTATTTTTTTTTATTTGAACGCTGGCGTTTCTTACGTGTTTCTATATAAATTTGATCAAGATCTGACCAGTAGTTGCCTATGCCTAATTTTATGGTATGTCAGATACTTAGCATTATTTTTATGCTGGACGCATAACGAAATGACAGATCCCTTCATTAATACAAAAATAAAATCCCTACATTCGTTATTATTGCAGTTCTTTAAAACCTCAGTGCAATGAATAATGTTCTAACAAAGATTTTTCTTCACGTCTTAGGAATGAAGCCCGAGGGAACTTCACAATACATTTTAATTAGCCACCCCCGCGTTGACGCAAGCAAGCAATGCTTTTGTTCCAACTAGCAGACGTGAATGCGTCGCGTGAAGAGCTCTCTGTTTCATCAACCTTTTGTGTGAGGTTCTTAGCTTCATAACTTGAAACTAAACACTTATTAGCTTCATGCAACTTAAGTGATGTTGAGAGATTGGGATTCATTTTTATGTTTTCTTACCCATGTGTCAACGTTAGTGACATACAAGTGGTAAAATTAAAGATATAAATAAAATGAGAACATCATCAATGTAGTCGAAGTCAATTAAATAAGCATTATTAAGGATAGCCGTGGTAGCTCAGATGGTTAGCGCTCGCTGTAAGCTTTACAGTACTCGAGAAACCCGGGTTCGATCCCCGCCGGCACCAATGAAATTGTTAATTGCAATTTTAAGTGCTGATTTACCACGTGCTCGGCAGTGAAGGAAAACATCGTGAGGAAACCTGCATGTCTGAGAAATAAGAAAAAAAAATATTTAGAAGACATGTGAAGTTCGCCAACACGCATTGGGAAAGCGCGGCGGACATTTCCTTGCCCTAAAACCTTCTCAGAAATGAGAGGAGGCCTGTGCCCAGCAGTGGGACGTAAATAGGCTGCAACTTTATTTTACTTCACTTTATTAAGGATAACTCAGAAACTGCATGTCAGATCTTGATAAAATTTATATGGGACCACATGAGAAGCACCAGCTTTCAAATAAAAAAAAGAATAATTAAAATCGCTTCAACTAGAAATAAGTTCTGAGCTAACACACGTAAAAAAAATACAATCGAATTGAGAACCGCCTTCTTTTTTTGAGGTCGGTTGTAAAGAACAACTGAATACACAAAATAGAGTATAATATTCTATTTTAGAGTATGGTTGGGAACCCTATTATGAATGCAATAAAAAAGTAAGACTTAGTAATAACTATAAATCTTTTTGCAGCCTTTTTACTCTGCTCTCGAATGAGTCGTCACTCGACGAGATTGTGTGACTCAGCAGAATCGATTGTGCCCAAAGATGTTTGCCAAACAATGGTCACATTGAATGCTCCAATATCGGAACTGCGAACGTGTCGCAATGTCTCAAGACGGATCAGTGCACTCCAATCTTTATAACAGACTATTGACTACCTTCTAATTTCAAAATCGAAACTAAACATAATATATATTCTTTCAATTCTTGCAAGTAATCAGTGGAGTCGTGGCTAGCCTCAGAGACTTAGCGCTCGCTGTAAATTTGTGCACTTGTGCACAGTGCGCGAGCAACCCGGTTTCGATCCCCACCGTCAACAATGAAATTGTTAATTTCAGCTTTAAGTGCTGATTTACCACGTGCTCGGCGTTGAAGGAAAACATCGTAAGGAACCCTGCATGTCTGAGAAAAAAAATTCGAAGACATGTGAAGTCCATAAACACACATTGGGGCAGCGCTGCGGACACTTCTGGAGGCCTGTCCCCAGCCGTGGGACGTATATAGGCTGTAACTTTACTTTAATATACCGTGAAGTCATCACCCGATTTTGTCCAGTTAATGTACTATAGTAAGAGATACCAAAAAATCTCTTGGCTTACAATAGTTTTAGTTACTTAGTTTTTATAGAATATGGGTGACAAACGAGCACACAATCCAAGTGATGGTAAGTGGATGCTGTGGCCCATGCACATCTACATTTATTATGAATTAAGAATCAAAAAGCAGATGCGTTGTCACCCCTGAGGACTAAGATGGAATGCCTCGTTTCCAGTAAAATGGGTCTCCGGTTTTCTACACTCACAATACGGAACACAGCAATATTAAGCTGCTATTTTACGCTGGTAGTCCTGTGAGAGCGTGGTCGCACCCCGGTCGAGCCGACTCATTCGCACTACAACCATAATATAGCTGCAGCGTGGCTCTACCACGTACCAGTTGGTGGTATAGCCATCTCGTTTACGTGAGGCATAAAATTACCACCACAGGCTTATAACCCGCTGTGGACAAAGAAGGTGGCGGCCTACAATAAAACGTAGTGAGTACTTAAGTGGAATTACACTTAAGTACTCACGCGTAACGATTCAGCCATTGTAACTCTGAAGCTGGAAAGTTAATTTTATTACTGACCAGAAATCACACTCAGTTAAGTTCGATTCCTGATGTTGCCGAGGTTGTTAAGCATTTAAAGTTGTATTACCAATTTTCTGGGATATTAAGCGTATTATGTTGCGAGTCCTCTAAGGCGCCTCGTTTAAACATCGTTACGGATTTTAACTATTTCTACTAAACTTTATTTCTCATTCAAAATTGAGAGAACGCGGAATAAAAATGATAATTATGATAAGAAATTTATAATGAAATTTTTATTATTTATACATTTTATCATTATTTCATTTATCATTTTTGCACATAAAAAGATCTTAAACTAAATTGCACGAGTAAGGGCTGAATCTGAATGACAGGGTGAGAGATATCTCCATACAAATAAATAAATTTGAAGTGTTCGTTTGTAATGTCAAAATAACAGCTTTTTACTAAATGCATATAAAAGTGTATATACGGTACTTATAACAAAAAAACCCAATGTTTTAAATTTTTGTCTGTCTGACTGTTCGTTCCGGCTAATCTCCGAAATGGCTGGACCGATTTCGACGGGACATTCACTGGCAGATAAATGATGTTATAAGCAGTAAAATGGGCTACTTTTATTTAAGAAAAATAATTTGGGTTCCGCGTAAAAATTAAAACCTATGAAATCCAATCGTAATAAATTAACGCCGACGCAGTCGCGGGGTACAGCTAATTGTATGATAAGAGAAGTGTTATTTGCAAGATGATGTTGAAACTAGAAATAGAAATAAATGCTTATTAAAGATGGGCTAAATTAACCCTTTCGCTGTCCCGTGCACTACATATAGGTCATTGCTATTGTCTTACTATTGTGTCTGAAAACCGGACAGTGAAAGTGTTAAAAGTACCTACCCTTGACCGACGAGCATGTATCATCATCATCATCATTATAGCCCTTCACAAGTCCACTGCTGAACATAGGCCTCCCCCAAGGAATGCCACAAAGCATGTATGTATGCGTAGGTATATTTATAGATATATATGGATGTAAAAGAGGCGAGAGAGGTGTGTCAGGATCGTGCCAAATAGAAGTCCGTAGTCCCTGCCTACCCCTCTGGGTGACAGGCGTGAGTGTTTATGTATTTTTTTATGAAAACTAAATCGCAATTGAAACATTTAAGAAACCATTAAATTTCGAATGCATCTTTTAATTTTAGAATATGTAAGAAGCTTTGAATTAAAAAAAATGAAGTCGTTAGTGTCACGCGGCCAGCATACGCGATTTTGGCAGATGTCGTTTTGTCAGGTCGTAAATAAAAATGCATTATTCCCATCGAGCTTATAAAAGAGCTTACTTCCTGTGACTCACAGCGGATTAGTATGCGGAACGAGGGTGGTGCAAAAATTTATTTATCTCACATATCCGGTTTATGGACGGCGCGGCGGCTTGTGACGAAGTTTTTTCGTGGAAAATATTGCTTATTGTAGGTATATGTACAGTTATACGGTAGAACCATTTTAAAGCTAGATAAAGTACATTTTCTAACAAGTTACCACACGTTAAATGAATTTTGCAGCTGTAAACATGTTCAAGATCAGATTTGATAGACCACAAATCTTCTGAGAACAGTGATTAGAGGCTATTGAAATACAAAAGCATCCTTATTTCAATGAAGAAGATGGATGGGTGCTACCATCTGCTTGGGATCCCATAATTATAAATTAAATTCAAACCCAACCATATCACTGCAACACTTCAAGATACTGTAAGCTCAAGCAAAAGTTGAAAGTCCCCTCCGTGATCATGGGTGCTGTAAAGGACCCGAAACGTCGAGATTTAAAATTTAAAAATAAAACGCGATAAAATCTATAAAACTAGTTTCATTTAATGTGTAGTATTCGCGTAAATATAAGAAATAATAAGTCACTACACGTTATAGGACTTAATGAAATCTATTTTAGGAAACATAAGCTTAGAGGAATATAATAATAATATTTTATAATAATAAGTTTGAAAAAAAATTATATGTTGAATATGAAGAAAATAGAAGACATCTATTTGAATTTTTTAGTCTTAATTTGTAAGGAGATTCTGTATCATTTAATTTTTCTTTTTTTACCAATGATTTTGATCAAATTGTTTCAGAGTCAATCGAGTAGGATATTGAAGTAACTAGACCTAGGGAGCAGTGTCAAATTACGACGTCAGTACAACGACGTAAATCCGAAAATACGCTGTAGCTATGTTATGGTAGCACTAATGGACTAGCTCGATCGGGAAGGACCACGCTCTCACAGAATACCAGCGTGAAATAGCAGATTAATTCTGCTGCGTTTCGTTTGGTGAGTGTAGAGAACCGGAGACCCTTTTTATTGGTAACGAGACATTCCATCTTAGTCCTCACGGGTGACGATGCATCTGCATTTTCATTCTTAATCGAGGATAGGTGTATATGTCTATGGGCCACAGGATTCACTTACCATCAAGTGACTGTAAACTCGTTTATCATTTAGGTATTCTATAAAAAAATGGCCTTTGCAAGACAATTTCGTCAAATGCTTACCCATTTCCAGCTGTATATAAAAAGAGAAGACTGAAGTAAGTGTTGAAGTTACCTGATGTGGAACTTGCTGCCGGCCTCCTTCTCCTCGGACTCGCAGGTGACGTTGCCGAACGAGTCTACCGCCAAGTACTTGTCCAAGTGAGAGCGCAAGTAGATCATGCCTGTGACAAAAGCATATCGACATTTAATTTATTAACTAAATTAGTTTTGTTCAAAATGAGAAGCTGATACTTGATAAAACAATAATAAATATAAAATTAAAAAAGAAAAGCTGCAAAAGTACATAATGTTGCCAGTAATAACAATATATTATTAACAAATAATATTGCCTTTTAAAGGTAAAATTTGACAACAAATTTATAATTATATTTTATGTTATACCAAAACTGGTTCAATACAATATATTCTATAGTTTTGGTTTAATATAAGGGTTCAAAAAGAACATAATGTCCACCTGATTGTAAGTGGATACTGTGACTAATAGACACCTAGATCTATCTATCTGTTATAGGATAATGGTGACAAATGAGCACACAGTCCACCTGATGGTAAGTGGTTGCTGTGGCTCATAGACATCTACGTTTATCCTCGATTACGAATCAAAATGCAGATGCGTTGTCACCCCTGAAGAGTAAGATGGAATACTTCGTTCCAGTAAAAAGAGTCTCCGGTTCTCTACACTCACCATACGAAACACAGCAGCGTTAGGCTGCTATTTGACGCTGGTATTCTGTGAGAGCGTGGTCCTTCCGCGGTCGAGCCGACCCATTCGTGCTACAACTATACTATTAATATAGCTGCAGCATGGCTCTACCACGTTAAGTTAAGTAATATTTAAAGGATAAAAAATTTGCTTTTAATAAAAAGTAAAAGCTGTTCAAAGAACAAAAATGATTAAACATAATTTCATATCGTGAAGACGGGGTTTTGATTCTCCCGTACACTATGTCAAGGACTTCAGAATGGGACATTATTTTATTATTTTTAACCGACTTCAAAAAAAGGAAGACGTTCTCAATTCGACTGTATTTTTTTATGTGTTACCATAGAACTTTTTTATAGGTGAACCGATTTTGATGATTCTTTTTTTATTTGAAAGCTCTCATGTGGTCCTATATAAATTTGTTCAAGATCTGACCAGTAGTATTTTGAGTTACCGTTAATAATGTGTATTTAATTTTTTTATTTATAACTGAATTCAGTTGTACAAAATGTTTAATTTTACCACGTGTGTATTTTGTTAAGGAATACTAGGAGTTCTATTCACACTTCACTCCCTTTAACCTAACAGCATTGTCCTCTTCTCATATCATAATCATTCATCATTACAGCCCTTCACAAGTCCACTGCTGAACATAGACCTCCCCATAGTAATGCCCAAAAAAGCACGCTCCTGAACCACTTGCATCAATCGCTGACTTTCATCTCTTACCGGGTCGTCATGACATCTCTGTCAGTACGGGTCTGCCACTCGAGAACTTTTTTTCTCTATCGGTTGTCGGTTCTTCGAGCTACATAATATATGGCCAACCCATTGATATAATTCATCATTACAGCCCATAGCAGAACATAGGCCTCCCCCAAGGAATGCCACAAAGCACGGTTCTGAGCCACCTGCATCCATCGACTTCCTGCACGTCCTAACCAGATCGTTACACCATCTAGTGGGGGGACGCCCTACACTTCGCCTGCCGGTACGAGGCTGCCACTCGAGAACCTTTCTTCCCCATCGGTTGTCGGTTCTTCGAGCTATATGGCCGGCCCATTGCCATTTCAGCTTACTAATCCGTTTGATATAAGTAAATAAATAATTATAATACAGATAAGCTGTAACCTCTAATGATGTTAATATTATATCTCGAACAATTATATACAAGATGTTATTCTAACCACAGAATAATTCTCTAATAGTCGTACCGTAAATGCCATTCAACTTTCTATTATTTTTGAATGCAAAATATTAAACTTTCGCATAGGCAATATATTTGCAAGAAGTGATTTGAAATACTTTCGAAATAACAAAATATATGTGCGCATTTAAATATTTATAAAATAAAATAAGGTCAAGTGAAATTTAAATTATGTTTTAAACATTATTAATACGAGTATACCACTCAGTTTTGAAGTTATAGTTCTTTTGGGGCGTTTGGGAAAAATTATTACAGTGAATTTTTTACGACGCGCGCGCACAATGACACCTTAAAGCGACAACTTCATTGTTTAACTGTCTCTCAAGTTTCTCAAGTGATAACTATATTTAAGGTAGTTATTTTTAGTTAGTTTTGTTTTGTTACGCTAAAGAAGTATAACTTCCTACGTGCGTGCATAAGTACACATACACGTTTTTTTTTCCTTCATATTCTTACATCGTCATCCGATTCCGAGCTAGTATGTTCAAAATTTCAACTCATCGGGAAGTTAATTGCTAAATTCGACTTGAACAGACATACACGAAAGCGAGTTAATAAAAACACAGTACATACGAGGGTGGATTGAAAAGTACTCGGCCTAACCAAGAAAATAAACAAATACTAAATCAGTTATATTTTTATTTTTCTACATAATCACCATCAAGTTCAATACACTTTTGCCACCTCCCCTTCCAAGCATTTAGACCGTTGAAAAAAAATGATTCTTCCTTAGAGTCAAAATATGCGTCTACAGCTGCTTTGACCTCGTCGTTTGTCGAAAATCTTTGACCTCCCAAGTGCTTTTTTAGGTTAGGGAACAGAAAGAAGTCTGATGGTGCCAGATCAGGTGAATACGGCGGATGCGGTAACAGTTCAAAGCCACAGTTGTGAATTTCAGCCATTGACTGTACTGACGTGTGAACACGGGCGTTATCTTGATGAAACAGGACTTTTCTTCTGAGCATTCCTCGACGTTTTTCTTTTATTTCCTCTCGTAAACGACGTAGTAAGGTGCAGTAGTAATCAGAGTTTATATGCTGACCCCTTTCAAGATAATCAATCATAATCACACCTTTCGAGTCCCAGAATACTGAAGCCATCACCTTATTTGCCGACAAAATCGACTTAGCCTTTTTAGGGGGTGGTGAACCAGGTCTTCCCCACTGTTTTGTTTGTTGTTTTGTTTCCGGTGTATAGTAATAAACCCATGTTTCGTCCATAGTAACAAAACGATTCAAAAAATCATCTGCATCGGCTTCAAATAACTCCAAACAGTCGCGTGAAATAGTTAATCGCGTCCTTTTTTGTTCAATTGAAAGCAGTCGCGGAACCCACCTCGCAGACACCTTGTGGAAACCCAACTCGTTGACAATGATGTTTTGAGTTCGTTCATAAGAGATGCCTATAATCTCGGCTATCTCTCTAATTTTTAATCTGCGGTCTCCCATTATTAAATCAAGTACTTTTTTAATATTTTCGTCAGTAGTTGACGTCGAAGGCCTTCCAGAGCGGGGTTCATCTTTCACACTCTCTCTACCACGCTTAAATTCTGCTATCCATTTTTTGACGGATGAATATGACAGAGCACAATCGCCTAATGTACTGACCATGTCATCATGGATGGCTTTTGATGATAGCCCCTTCTTATGGAGGTACTTAATGACGGCACGCTGCTCGATTTGCTCCATTCGCGGAAATTATGTCCGATTACTTTGTTAATAAATTTATAAAATCACAACTAATTATCGCACACGTTTCGAACTTCACACAATGAACTAGTCTGAACTGAACTAAATAATGTGGGTAGATTTGATTTTTAGAATTGAATGGATCTGTGTTAGGCCGAGTACTTTTCAATCCACCCTCGTACATACATTATAATTTATTTGCTGAGTTTGAATTTTGAATGGTAAACATTGAACTAAAAATAGCCAAAAGGAATTTCGGTAACGTTAAATATAAAGCTGCAGTCATCGTCTCGTAAACCGAACCTCCTAATTGGTTATAAACAAAAGGAGTCTCTAAATAAATCACGAAAGCAGATGGAACTTGACAGTGTGTGTGACAAATGATAATGGTATGAGGTTCTTAAACTGAAGGACAATTTTTCATTTTTAAAAGGATTAGGGAAGCTAAAAAAATATTGCTGTTTGTTCCAACGAAACCATAATTCAAAAAAGTTTTATTTTAATATATAAAACCTGAAATGACTAACGAACCTACAGTGACTACTGCACCTAAAGTGGATGTGACAAACGTACTCTCAGTGCATTTAATGGTAAGTGACTACTGCGGCCAATGGACACCGACAGCCAAGTTCAAACAAAAATTTTTTTTCTTTTTTTCTTAAAAGCGTTACCTCCACACTAAGATTTTGTCCAGTATCGTGGGGGGGCAGTTTACATACATAAATTTCACAAGGACAAACGTCCAGACCCGGAACAATTATTTGTAGGCCATTCAAATACTTGTTCCGTGCGGGATTCGAACCCGCGGCCCTTGGTGCTGCAACTTATTGCTAAGTCACTGCGCCACGGAGCCGTCTAAAGAAGGCTCCAGATGTGTTGTCACCTTTTAGGACTAAGATGGAATGCCTCACAGCCTAGTTATACTGGCTCTATAAACCTTCCAAATCAGAATAGAGCAATGAAAGCACTATTTGGCGAAGAAATAAGTACTATTTTTAGTTATCTAAGTGTCTATGTTTCAATTAAATATTTGTTACCCTTTGTCCCTTTGCATAGTGAGCGAACATGGTCTCTATTTTGTGGAACAGACTATAGAACAAGTATATGCACAAAGCTATGTCACAAAACGTACGTATTTCCGTACAAATTCGAATTTAAAATGAAATTGTCTAGTTAATATAAAACTTTAATAAGTTAGAGTTGCAAAATTTTTATGCTGATTTAAATACATAAATATAAACATTAGTTGTGTTAGAAACTGGTTAAAAAAAAACTGTAAAATATAACTGTTTGCGCGTCATAAATGATGATTGAAATAAAATTTAATGCATCGACCACTGGAGAGTATAAATAACATTTATAATATGCAAATGTTGGACTTTGAAACATTTCCGTTTTAAAATATAAGGAAAAAGTTTAACATTTAAGTATTTCTGCGGTACAACAAATATTTTTATAATATGATACATCTCTTGGGTATTGGGATATCTATCTTAAACATCTATAGTATATATAACGTAGTAGGAAAGAGGGTGGTACTCGTAGATGCTTCACTAATCTATC